GTTCTACAGAGGTTGTAGATACCGTAGCCCATGGATTTGAGTCAATAGGCTAACGTTAAATCAAACTATCGACTAGACGCCACGCCTTCAACCGAACAACAACAGAAAGAAAGAAAGACGAGAAAGTGAATCATGAAGTGGTAGTCCGTATACCCGAATTAGGACTAGCGCAATAGTCCCGTGCGGTTCTTCCGACTTGACGCTGCGAAAGACCCTCGCACATCACCACGCCCTTCTTGGCAACACTCCGCTCCAATTCGCTGGTCTCGAGAGATCTACTCAGCCAGAGACCATGCAGAAGTCTCGCACCATCAACACCGCCCTGGGGGCCCGTCCCTTTGTGCCAGTCCCGCGCGTTCAGCTTCAGTTTCAGCGCAACCTTCAGGATGTCCGCATCACCCGGACTGGCAAGCCCCTCCTGAAGGTTCAAGGTGGCCGGTAAGTGGTCAATTGTGCTGTGGCCAGGGTCCATTTTCTTGTTCGCTGACGCGCTCTTGTTTCAGGTCTTCCATTGGAGGTAGCTAAGTCTTTCCAGTTTGATGCTAAGCTTCGGTCCCGACGTGCTCACACAATTCTAGGTCACACCGCGACCGTCTTTGGTGCTACTGGTTTCCTTGGTCGCTACATTGTCAATAAGCTTGGTAGGTAGAGAGTCTGCTGTACTGCAATTGGATCAGAGACTGATGGCTTGCAGCTCGCCAGGGATGCACCGTTGTCATTCCCTTCCGTGAGGAGATGACCAAGAGACACTTGAAGGTCACTGGTGATCTTGGACGAGTTGTGTTCATGGTATGGAGCCTTCCTACTGTATAAGTGGTGAGATTTGAGGGGGGTATCTGACCTCAATATAGGAATACGACCTGCGCAACACCCAATCCATCGAGGAGAGCGTTCGTCACTCCGATGTTGTGTACAACCTTGTCGGTCGTCAATATCCTACCAAGTGAGTTATAGTCTATGGGATACATGAATAAGTGAGTCCTGACAACCCCAGGAACTTCTCCTATGAGGACGTCCACGTCGATGGTACCGAGCGTATTGCCGAGGCTGTTGCCAAGTACGATGTCGACCGCTTCATCCACGTTTCTTCCTACAACGCTCGCCGTGACTCGCCTTCCGAGTACTTTGCCACCAAGGTCAGCATATCTACCAGGAATTATAAGAATGAGAGTGCTGATGACATGTAGGCATGGGGTGAGGAGATCGTCCGCAAGATCTATCCCGAGACCACAATCGTGCGACCTGCACCAATGTTCGGTTTCGAGGACAACTTGCTCCACAAGCTGGCCAAGATTGGTAACGTTTTCACCTCCAACCACATGCAGGAGCGCTACTGGCCCGTTCACGTAAGTTATTCTCCCGGGGGGTGGACAAGACTGCATTAAGCTAATCCTATCTAGGCCATTGATGTCGCTACCGCTCTGGAGCGTATGCTGCACGACGACAGCACCGCCGGCCAAACCTACGAGTTGTACGGCCCCAAGAACTACTCCACCGCCGAGATCGCCGAGCTGGTCGACCGTGAAATCATCAAGAAGCGCCGTCACATCAACGTTCCCAAGGTCCTTCTCAAGCCCTTCGCCTACTACATCAACAAGCTCCTGTGGTGGCACACCCTGTCCGCCGACGAGGTGGAGCGTGAGTTCCTCGACCAGGTCATCGACCCGACTGCCAAGACCTTCAAAGATCTGGGCATGGAGGAAACTGCCGATCTGGCCAACTTGACCTTCCACTACCTGCAGGGCTACCGTAGTGCCTCTTACTACGATCTCCCTCCCTCCACGGAGCGCGAGCGCCAGGAAGACAAGCGGTACCTGCACGTGCTGGACGATCAGTAGTTTGTGTTTTAAATTGTGTAAATAAGCCTTCCTAGATCAAAGTCGATTTCCTTTGTTGGATGAGTGTATGAACACAGTACAGTAGACTAGTAGCCTCGTAGACTCATAGACTCAAAACACAAATTTGATCAAACCCATTGCATTCCCCAAAAGACCCAAGATCGAAAAGCTCGGTTTCCCCAGAGCTCCCCGCACTCGATCACATCATCTCAGTTCCACCTCCAATCCTCCCTAACCCTCACCTTCACCTTCACTTTCACACCCCAACCTACCCCCCAAAATGCCTCCAACCTCAATCCTCCTCCTCAAAACAAAATCCTCCCCTCATGATGGTTACGAAGATCTCTTCTCCGCACAAAACTACACCCCCAACTTCATCCCAGTCCTAGAACACCGCTTCCTCAAAAACAACCTCACCCAAGTCCGCGATCTATTCAGCACAGGGGCATTCACCAACCATGTATCCACCCCGAGGAAATACGGCGGCCTAATCTTCACCAGCCAGCGCGCAGTCGAGGGTTTCGCGCAGATGATCGAAGATGAAAAAGACGGTGCACAACAACCCATCCCACCCCCCCCCNCCNCNCACACACACACACACACACACACACACTACACACACACCACCACC